CGGTAATATTGGCAAGAAATGATACCGAAGAAGCCGAATCTTTTTCGGAATATTTCAGTAAATTATTTTCTATCAGGAATGAGGAACGACCAGCTATTCATTGTAACTGTGGCGGCTTGTTGATGGACCCTGAGAATACTGAGAAAGATACTGTCTTAAGACTACTTCAGCATCTCAAGTGTGATATGTTTAGTGGTCCTGATGATATTCATTAGGATTGTGAAAGCCCTATCAGATGTAATTGCTGAACCTTTAGTGACACTGCTTGATATGCCCCTGCGGCAGTCCAGACTGCCAAGAGACTGGAATACGCAATAATTAGTCCTGTTTCTAAGGCGGGGAGTAGAGACTTAGTAACTATCGACCAGTGAGCTTAACTAGTGCAGTTGTAAAACTGATGGAAAAAATTATTCGGATGGCTGTCATAAACTATGTGGAAGGACATAATCTTTTATCCACGAAACAACATAGTTTTCGTAAGGGTCTATTATGTTTGACAAATCTAATTACAAGAGATGACTGGGCTGAGGCAAAAGATTGATATTGTAGAACATCAACGTTGATGTTCTATGTCAAATGATTGGGGGCCTACTATAGTTAGACGTGTGCAGTAGCAAACATTATCGTGGGGTTCGTGGAGAGTTTCAGAGGTCGTTTAGATATTTTCCAAACCCGTACTGCATGTGAATAAACTGAAGACGGAATTCAAGTGACTTTCGTACGATAAGGAAATCGAGCCATGATTTACCGTGAGATAACAGCAAATACAAAGCGCATAGTAAACAATAATTAAAATGGTAACCACCAATGTAACTAAAGTTTAGGTTTAGATAACGTGATGGTTTCGTAAAAGAGCTTATTATCTCGTGTTAAGTGACATTAAATACGATGAATGTCTGGTAAGGACATGGACTAAGATTGCTCATATACACGTAATACGTTTTTCTACAGCATGACGACTTACGAGTCATAAATGTACATGGTTTCGACTAAAACTTGAAGGTAGTGACAGAATATATGACTACTTTACGTAAAAATAGTCGCGAAATGTTATTAGACATCATAAACATTACACGAAATTATTTAACACAGTCATGAAACTCGCCTGGGTTACTCTTGCTCCAAAGTAATTGAAATATGTTGATTAAATTCGTAGATTAACAAAGCGTTGTAGACTGAATTGATATACGTCCAAATTTAATTTGAGCCAAACACGTAGCATTGCCTAGCGAAACAGTCTAAACAAGATCTAACATTGCAGGAAATTTATAGTTCAAACTCACTGTAAATTTCTAGCATTTGTATCCTCTGATTCGCCATGGAACTCAGCAATTGGAAATTAGGCAGGCAGTGGTCAAGAAAGTAAAATATTCTAGTAGATAGTTTCTGATAGTAGTTAGTTGATAGTGAATAAGCAGAAAGATGAATTTATAATCGACAGTTTATCCTGTATTGGTTATACAAGTGGATAAGTTGCAAACAGATATGCGTTCGTGTTGCCTTGAGGCTATACTTACGAGTGGTTGATATTTTAACAGACATATTACATAGGAGCATTTACATGCCGCTAATGCTTGTTAAAGAACCACGATAGTCGATTATAGTCGTAGTTGATTGGTTAGTCCTATCGATTGAACCAATTATTTCAATTGAAATACTAATTAACATTGATATGAAGCAACGAATGTTCACAGAAACTGATAAAGATAGCCGAAGTCAAAAATAAAAAGTATAGAATGCAATAAAAAAGATCATAATGATAGGTTGCGTTATTCGATGTCTTGCTCACCAGTGTAGAACATCTACATTGATGTTCTATGTCAAATGATTGGGGGCCTACTATAGTTAGACGAGAATGGTGACGAACCAACTAACGCTGAAGTCACACCTCGCGACCGGCCCTTACGTGGTTTGAACCATCGACGCATCAAAGGATCATGGACGCTATGGAGACTGTACAACACAAAGGACGTTATTACAAGAATATATTAGTTAAGGTACAACCACGAAAGTACAGAAGTGAGAGAACAACCACTGCCGTGTGGGCTAGTCCATGGCATATACTTGACTGATGCTCGTTGACTATCCTTGACCTTGACAGGGATCAATGTTCTGTTCGATATTCAGTGACATTTCACCGACTCTACACCCCCTCTGATCCATCGTTCAATACAGAAATGTGTTTTAAGTTCGTAATCTGATCACATACCGAGTTCCTTTCTCAATGATTATAGTGTTTAATTTATCCTACAGATATTCTTCTAGAACTGTAAACGCGATACTGGTGACCCCAGGGTATATGTGAAAGCTATAGTCAGTACAAGAGCAACTTGGCTTTAAATTCTGTCAGTTTCTAAACATAAAAACAAGTCGTTTAGTACAATAATTAAAGGGATTCCAGTCATCAAGTGGAACGCATAAACGTACCGACCAGTATTACGTGTCTTATCGAAATGAATAAACATTACGACTCACACTACTATAAAGGGATAATAATGTCCTTCAATTAGTAGGTCACATGCAACAAGGATAGTTTACAGACATATCGGGCCAGAGTGACATGGAGGGAACTTAAGCAACGAATAGATTAAATTCAACTTAGTATTGTTTGTTTGAATCTTCCCATCGATTTGTTAGGACTGCAACTGGTCAGTCTCTAATTGGCATATGTGCATACTGTGCGTATTGCCTCGATATACCTTAATTCACAAGCATGGTTAGCAGAGATGGATAGTGGCTAGCAGTGGAATCCAGGACGCGCGTTTCGTCCTATTTGGGACTCGTCAGCTGGATGTACCTGCATCTCAGAGTTGATGTTCACTCTGGGACTCGAACCCAGTACCCTCGCTTCAAACGCCATCGCGTTATCCACTCGGACACTGAGTCCTGATAGCCACTTGCTTGTGCGATGGGGTGAAGTTTAAATTCAACTTAGTATTGTTTGTTTGAATCTCCCCATCGATTTGTTAGGACTGCAACTGGTCAGTCTCTAATAGAATAGATTAGTTAGTTATGGATATAACTAACATTGATCAACCGTTTGACGGCAGTGTCTTACGTCTCTATGATAGTGAGCGACTACAATAAGCCCAGTTCTGATTCTCAGTTTGTGTCTGAATTTTTTGTAACTCATATTCAGACTATTAAGAAATTCAAGCTAACCCCCAAAAAGTGAACATTTTACATGAACAGTTTTTCAGTTGTCATTTGACGATAGATTTCAGGTAACATTATATATTTAAATTAATCATTTAAACTGTCTTCTGCTTATAGATCTGTCAGTGTCATATAAAAATCATGTTTCTATGTAAAAAAAGAAATAGCTAAGTTAGAAAGTATATTGTAGTTTAGACGTTTTTAAATGTTTAAAACCTAACAGAAGAAATTTATCGTTGAACACAAAAATTTGCCGAATTTATTCTTCATTTGGTTCCAAACGAGAACGTTGGTGTCTGAATCCAGTAAACGAACACAATTAGACTCAAGTCACTAATATGGCAGATTGAGATTCGTATGAAAACACAACATTCAGAAGTAAAGCCTTACATTTCCCTAAAATATTATAACTTCTAGTCACTTATGTACCTAAACGTTTGTGTTTGATTATCTGGTGAACAATAGTTGGTCAATGGGTCATATCTCTGAAATCGTGTTGGATCTTTAGTAGATTGAATGAATCAGCTAGATGGAAGAATTCCTATTTAGAATTATACTGTCGATGATTAAATGGATTCGAATAGTACTTATTGCGATGCTCGTTGAAATTTTGCTAAATTAACAATCAACTCAGAGGTTTTCATAGCCTTCGCGAATCTTGTTAAAATAGGTGTTTATGTATAAATTTTCATTATTTTTATGTAAGATTTCTTTTGGTCAGTTAATTTCATTAAAACGAATATGTAAGTTTTTCAAATGAAATCATTATGGTTTCGAACAGAATCTCTGATGTTATTAGATACTAATTGGAGATTTAATAATGAACTGCTGCCTTATCCGGTGGTGTAGATATTGCATGTTATGCATATAGAACTCTCGGTGAAAGCTTTACGAGAGAATTCAAAATACTACTTGCGAATTCCGCCTTCATTGCTGTATCATCTGGATTTTTAGTCAAACGTGCTGTACATCAATAAGCATTAAAATATAAGTCGAATACTTCTCGTAACAATTATATATAATATGTATAAAAATATGTAATTATGAACTGAATAAGTGCTTGATGGTGAGTGGTTTTACAGTTCATGGACAGTGGCGTCAGAAAATAATATGCCGCCTGTTATTTAACAGAATTCAGACTTCTGTTTTGACTTATTAATTGCCACACTTGAAAACTATTATTGGCTGTTCGCTTAATCGGACTAGTAGATAGTCTGACAGGTACTAGATGAGTTTTATATTCTCTTACCCTTGTTATTATTGGATTGTTGTCGGGCTTTCCATTGTACGTCTTTCCATTATTTGGATGAAGAAATATTAAGATTATTATACCCGACTTTTGTGAGAGCTCATTTGGAATATGGGATTCAAGCAGCTAGTCCATGTTTCAAGTTTGAGGCGTATGTGCTTGAACAAGTTCAACGACGAGGGGCTAAAGTAGTAAAAGGTCTCTCTGACCCATCTTATAAAGACAGGTTGAGACACCTCAACGTATTTGCGTTATCTTACCATAGAATACGCGGTGATTTAATATTGGCTTATCGAATGCTGAACGATGACCTTCCGTCTGAGACTGATAATCTGAGAGGACATTCAAATAACGTTCAAAAACCGAAATCAATCGTCTACGTCTGGGGTTTCCTTTCCTGTACGAAATAGTGAATTACCGAAATTCTCTACCAGAACAAGTAATGTCAACAACTGTTGATATATTTAATAAAAGATTGAACCTCCACAATGTTACAAACTACAAGGATTAATATAGGTCGATAGACGTCTTATCCTTATTATTGAAGATTGGAGAATTCTATGTGTCTTCCGTGCTACTTTGAAGCTAACGCTACATGTCTGACACAGGGCAAATGAGTTCCAGGAAGCTATCGTGAGTTGGTCACAGATAACATATTTAATAGAACTTCAGGAGAGTCTTTATTTCACGTACTGAGAGTCCCCAAGGGAGCACCTGAGGAAGACCTAAGAAAATCATACAGAAGGGTTAGTTTTACCATGCGTTTCTACCACCCCATTGAACTGGTTTGTGTAACACGTTCTTTATCGGTGCTTTACATGAACATTCCTACTCGCTGTGGGAGTCACGCAACGTCAAATTACCCCCATGAAATAGTAGAAAACTGAATAAAGGCTATACGTACACAATTTAGGATAATTCAAAATGGCGAAATTATGAAAAAATTCGGATGATAAAAACTAATTACAAAATGAGTTTGTGTTGTCTATCTCTGTAATATTCGTTCCTTACCGTTTAAATCCTTAGGTCTTTATGCTTTCATCCTGTTCATATTTTTGATGTTTGCTCATTCTGACGTTATTTCATGTATGTTGATCTCTTTATGTGGTATTCACAATTATAAGATATAAACTTGCACAATTGTGAAAGTCCACACAGTTGCAAGCAATTCTTTATCTATTGAAATCGATGTTGACACAGAAATATATCACCAAGACCACAAGCCAGAGAACTTCTGTTCATTGTTTGGCTAACTTGTGTATCGATACCCGTTCATATCTATTCTTTTGATATGGTGGGCAGGCTTGTATATCGTAACACATAGGATGGAATAGTTGTCCGTTTAAGTCCCAACACCAGACAGGTTGCATGAAGAGTGGTGGTGCTAAAGAAGGCGATTTTAATTTCAAGGACGTAATCCTGATGCTGAATACATAAGGAAGGCATTTCTCTCAGACAAGTACCATTTGTAGCGAATCTGCCTCTTCTGAACTAAAGATAGGAGACATAAGTTAGATCCTAAAAAATACCATACGTCAGCTTAGTTCGTGGTCTTACGTTTTTATAGGTACTCAGCTTAATGTTCGAACGCCATTCCACGTGCTTCGATCCAGGAAATCTGATAGTATCACTATGCTCCACACAATGTTCCCCATATACAAGCACCTGGGAGATGGCTCAATTATATAACATAATAAGACTAGATTTGTCCAACTTATTCAGGACTACTCACAAAGGCCTTGTGTAACCAATTTTTAGTGGCCGTTCCTTAGGCTGTAGGGTCACCCTCCCGGCTCGATAAGATCTCTACTAATTCCGTTTCCTTTCTTCACAAAGAACTGCCGTTCCACTTTGTTGGTAACTGGGAAGTAACAATCACCCAAAAACCATAGATGCATATATATATTTTTATTCTATTTTATGAAAACACATAAATATTAGTACAATGAAGCACCATATATATATATGCGCCGCACTAATCTCATTCGATTTGTGTGAAGGCTGTGACACTTCCCAGGTGCCCAAACTGAAGCAGGTGGTTTTCTTAGGGGACCACACCCCAAGCCTTTGATCTAAAGGTCTAACCCACAAGGCAGTGGAGCATCGTGATGGGATGAAGTCCCATGGTAAGCGGTGACCAACGATTGATTCATACGTCATCTGTTCCCTCAGGATACTGGAGACCATGTACACCATTGGTTTGGAATCAGGGTTTTCAAACTCCCTTAGGTGAACTTTCCGTGTCCACCAACCTGATTAAGGCGCCGGATATTCGCTTTTCGTCCTCTCAATTTCGTAAACAACACCCGTGGTGCGAGATGGCAGTGAGTGGGACTTCCCTGGCACAGGCTGTATACGCGTGGCCATGTGAGAGCATTTCGAGAGGGAGAGCGGACTCTCCCCACTCTTGGCCGTACCAGGGCATTTAAGGGCAGCCCGCTACGTCGGGAGCATATATATATATATGCATATATATCTGGTGCCTCCTTGTACCAATATTTATGTAGAGTTGAGATCATGAGTCAATTGAAGCTAGACCACCAAGGAAAACCTGGAAGCACTGGACGGCCGTTTCGTACTATTATGGGACACAGCAGTGCGCATCCACGATCCCGCACTCGCGAGATCCGAACCCAGGACCTACCATTTTCGAGCCAGAGCCCTTAACTGATAGACCACTGAGCCGGCATCCAACGGTGTTACTGTCTAACTTCAACTAATCCACGAAATTGAGCAACCATTCACCAATGTCATCAGTGAGTTGATATCTCCCAACAGACCTGGTTGAACTCCACTGGTTAAGAGCTCTAGCTCGAAACTGGTAGGTCCTGGATTCGAATCTCGCGAGTGCGGGATCGTGGATGCGCACTGCTGAGGAGTCCCATAATAGTACGAAACGGCCGTCCAGTGCTTCCAGGTTTTCCCTGGTTATCTAGCTTCAATTGACTCATGATCTCAACTCTATAAAATTACTAAAAGTCTCCACAAAACCCCTTCTGACAATATTTGTGTGTTTAAATAAACAAACTACCTAGCTCCCAGTGTTCATCTGTCAATTCAGCAACAATGTAGTCCAGAAATTTTTCTTGCTACTTGCTAGTCTTTCATCCTCGTGTTTATTTAAAGTTATATGTTCTTGATTCTATTTCCTTAATATTACATATTCTGGATTTGATCCTAGTGAATTAGTTTCGTCCCATATCTTGGTATAACCTAGTCGTACTATCTCAACTTTTATCTGGTTCGTTCGCTACTAGCTGGCGTAAAATTGGAATAAGGATCTTTTTCTGAGTAGGCGTTATTACTTACGCCTGTTACGCCTCGTGAAGGGGCATAGGCCGCCCACCAGCATTCTCCATCCAACTCTGTCCTGGGCAATCCTTTCCAGTTGTTATTCATCCTTTTTCATATCTGCTTCTATTTCCCGACGTAATGTGTTTTTTTGGCCTTCCTCTTTTCCGCTTCCCTTCCGGATTCCAAGTTGGGGCTTGCCTCGTGATGCAGTTTGGTGATTTCCTTAATGTATGTCCTATCCACTTCCAAAGTCTTCCCACTTTCCTCTTCAGCTGGAAGTTGATTTGTCCTCTCCCATGAAACGCTGTTTCTGATAGTATCCGGCCAGTGAATGTTGAGTATTTTGCGAAGACAACTGTTTATAAATACTTGTACCTTCTTGACGATGGATGTAGTAGTTCTCCGTTTCAGCTCCATACAGTAGGACTATCTTGACGTTCGTATTAAGGATTCTGATTTTGATATTGGTTGACAGTTGTTTCGAGTTCCATATGTTCTTCAATTGTAGAAATGCTGCCCTTGCTTTGACAATCCTCGCCTTTATATCTGCAACCGATCCTCCTTGTTTATCAACGATGCTTCCCAGGTACGTCAAGAGTTTCGCCATCAAGTGTGATTGGGTTGGTGTTCTCTGTGTTGTATTTGAGAATCTTTCCTTTTTTGTGTATGTTGAGGCCTATCGATGCAGAGGCTGCTGCTACATTTGCTGTCTTCGTCTGTATTTATTCGTGTGTATGAGATAGAAGGGCTAGGTCATCTACGAAGTCCAAATCATCTAAATGATTCTGAGATGTCCATTGTATTCCATGCTTCCCGTCAGAAGTCGAAGTCTTCATAATCCAGTCAATCACCAGAAGAAAGAGAAAGGTGGAGAGTAGACAGCCTAGTCTGACTCCGGTCCTTACTGGAAATGCATCTGTCAGCTGTCCTCCATGTACGACTTTGCACTGTAGTCCATCGTATGAGTTCTGGATAATGTTGACAATCTTCTGAGGAACTCCATAGTGTCGAAGAAGTTTCCATAATGTTCTGTCCACACTGTTAAACGCCTTCTCATAGTCAATGAAGTTGACGTATAGTGATGAGTTACACTCAACTGATTGTCCAACGATGATCCATAGTGTCGCAATCTGGTCTGTGCACGACCGATCCTTACGGAATCCAGCCTGTTGATCTCGAAGTTGAGCGTTTACCGCGTCTTTCATCCGGTTGAGCAACACTCTGTTGAAAACTTTTCCCGGTACTGATAACAAACTGATGCCTCTGTAGTTCTCACATTGGCTCAAATCTCCTTTATTTGGTATCTTGATGAGGTATCCTTCTTTTCAGTTCCTCGGCACATGTTCCTCCTCCCAAGTCTTCTTGAATAGGAGGTGAAGCATGTTTGCAGTTACTTCAATGTCTGACTTCAGTGCTCCAGCTGGTATATTGCCAGGTCCTGCCTATTTTCTGCTCTTGATTTGTCTGATGGCCATCTCGACTTCGATCGTTGGTGAAGTGACATCTATAGGAAGGTCAGTGTGTGCTGCTTCGATGTCCGGTGGATTCAATGGAGCTGGCCTATTCAGCAGTTCCTCGAAGTATTCTGCCCATCTTTTCCTCTGTTCTTGAATCTCCGTGACTGTCTTTCCTTCTATGTCCTTGACTAGTCTCTCCGGTTTGCTATATCTCCCTGCCAGTTTCTTCGTTGTATCATATAGTTGTTTCACATTCCCTTCCCTTGCAGCTTTTTCCGCCATCGTTGCTAGTTCTCCCATGTATTTCTGCTTGTCGGCTTTAATGCTTTTCTTCACTTCCCTGTTTGCTTCTGCGTAGTCTGCTTGTGCTTTGATTTTCTCTGCTCGTGTTCGGCTGTTGTTAATTGCTAGTTTCTTGTTCTTCCTTTCTTGAATTTTGTCCAGGGTTCCCATAGATATCCATTCCTTGTGATGATGCTTCTTAGGACCAAGAACCTCCTGACACGTTGAAGTTAGTGTTTCTCTTATCTCTTTCCAGTCGTCCTCCATCGTAGTTTCTTGTTCTTTCAGTAGATCCTGTAGAACATGTAACCTGTTGTTGAGAGTTATCTTGAATTCGTTGAGCTTGTTAGTATCTCGAAGGAAGGCTATATTGAACCTTTGTAGTGCTGTTTTTCCAGTGTTTCTTTAGCTTCAGTCTCATCTTGGCCACAACCAAGTGGTGGTCTGAAGCTATGTCAGCTCCTCTCCTGGTTCTCACATCTATTGTCCTTCGGAATTTTTTTGTTGATACAAATATGCTCTATCTGCTTCTCTGTGGCGTGGTCTAGAGACGTTATCAGATATGGCTCAGAATAGAAGCCAGTGGCGATCCTGCTGCAACCTTCTTTTACTTTCTACATAAAGAGTGGTTCTAACTTTCTTAACTGAAAGAGTCTTCTGGCTGTACATTTCAGTTCGCCTTATCTTTTCATCCCTTCTCTTCCTACTTTCATTATTTTGTGTGGCGCATATGTATCTGGTGCCCTTTTGTACCAATATATATGTGTTTAAATAAAATAAAATATAAATACTGTGGCGTGGTCCGGTGAGGTTCATGTAGATTTGTGTATGCGTTTGTGTGGAAATATTGTGCCACCTATAACCATTTTGTTGAATGCACATAGATTTGCGAATCTCTCCCCATTTTCATTTCTCTCTCTTAGTTCATGTCGTCCAATTATATCTTCATATCCTGTGTTGTTCACTCCGACTTTAGCATTTAGATCTCCGATCAGGATGGTGGGGTCCTTTCTTGAGTACTTGACTATGATTGATTGCAGCTTGAGTAGAACTGATCTTTATCGTCGTCGTTGCTATCGTTGGTGAGTGTATAACACTGGATAACATTCATTGTGATCCCTTTCATTGTTTTGAATGGTGCTTTGATTATCCTGGATCCGTGATATTCCCATCCTACAAGTGCATTTTTTTGCTTCTCGAGACAGCATTAGAGCAACTCCCTGAGTGTGTGGAGCATTTCCCCCTTCCCGTACCTAGCCTTTGTTGTCCAGCTTGTGTCCAATGGGCTTCGCTGATTCCAAGTACTGCCAATTTGTATCTCCTCATTTCCATTGCTATTTGACTGGTCTTCCCTGTCTCCCACATTGTCCGGACGTTCCATGTACCTATAAAGAGTGTTGCTCTGGTTGTTAGAAGGTGCATCGTCCTCGTGACTTCCGAAAAATTTCGGCTTTCATCATGAGGCGTCATAATTATTCCTTCAACACCCAAGGCAGAGTTTAAATGGTTTGAATTATTTTTTCTGGTTAGCGTTTTTTTAGCGAGTTAGTTTTTCTACGGGATGGAGTCGCTAACTTCATGCCCAACCCTCCTCCTTTACCTGGGCTTGGGACCGGCAGTAACTCTAGAAGAGCTACATGCGGAGTTAGTAGGCGTTATACGAATATATAAAATTATTGACTATAGTTTGAGTTTCGTAATACAAAATGACCCTATGCAAGTACGTTACCGTTTTTCCCATCTCTTATTAACGCTTCATATCTCCCATAGTTTTGTGTTTTCATACTTTGGAAATATTTTCCTCCAGTCATTACACCTGTATCATGGGACGACCGCCAGTAGTGCTGAAGCTAGGCATAGGGTGCTAGACAAGGTTTCAAATCGGTTGATAAAGTTGTCAGTATTTATCTATTAAAATGACTAAGACATGTCATTTGTAATTAATTACCTGTTATCTCGACGAAAGTTGTTTACTGGTGTGGAAGTAGGCTTGAAAAAAGCTAAAACGAATCGAAAACGTAATATCAGTTCATGAAGTCACTAACTATTTGTATGAGTCATGATGTTTGGAAACTATGTGGTTGAGGTTCACGTGATAATCGTGATCAATATTTAGTGATGGATAACAGCTCCAAGTTGTTTACACTGGTATGGACGCATTTACTCTATCTTAATGCAGGTCTTCAGTCTAAGTATCCCTTCGTCCCCACCTTTTCATTCTGTCAACTTAAACCATACTCCCAATGTTCGATCTTTCTCATTATCATTGCCACTACATGATTCCCAACCCTTCAGTATATATCTTTAATTTCATCTTGTTCGTCTTCGGTTTAGGCGCCCGAACAGTATTCCAGCTCACACAAATCGAATGACGATGTGGCGCATATATATTTAGTGCCCCATTATACCACTTTATTTTTAAATAAATAAATATCTTGTTGGGCTAGTGTGGTATAACAGCATGGGTCAACGAACGTTTATACTAAGCTCTATGTTGATTATGACCAACTGACTAATAGAAATATCTAGATGACTTACCATTGTGTTTAGTTTATGTGTATTGTACCAGTAAAGCTATAAACGATCGTTCATTTATACTTTTACCATATCTTTTTTTTCTACAAAAAATTTCTAATTATAGTTGGCTTTGCAATTCCATCCGGATAAAAATCCAGATAATCCTTCGGCAGCTGAAACTGTAAGCGTTAACTTTTTCTAAACACTTGAATCTACTTTTATATTTTGATAAACCACATGTGTTACACATAAAAACGACGTTACTGACTGTTTACACTGTTCAACAAATAATTGAACTGATTTACTCAATTTATCAGTGGAACTTAGAATAATTTATTAATTAGGTAAACAACTTTGCATATGGACTAAACGTCTTATTTAGGGTTATAAAAACTTCAAGAATCGATCCAAAACTAGGATGACGGTCAGTATTCTATGTTGATGCGAAAATCAAACGTATTCAGCCTTTCGCCATTACCACTCACTTTTCCACTGCTGTTCGTTTATGTTACTAATACTGATAAATTAAACTTGAGAAAGTTGTCTGTATGTATAGCTATGGCAAAATATTTGTCGTTTACAAGCATTTGGTAAGAAAATCAGTGATACAATAGCCGCAAAATTTGACATCGGAGGACTTCTAGTCATGTTTAGAACAACGGAGCCGGAGATGAGACGAGTTCATCTCCATAGATGGAGAGTATTTTGACTGGGATCGGATTGATATTTCCTCCAATTTGTGAGGCTCTTATCGCGTCAGTCTTGATTCTCTTCTAAAATAAACTAGATATATGTAAACTCGTATATTCTTTGTATCTCACAATGAACAGGTTTGTAAAAACTGACCACTTTAAATGTTATATAAAGTAACTTAAAGGCATAAATTGAAGAAATCAATGACTATTGTTAACAACGGTCAGATGAAGGATGTAAATTATTAAGCAGACATAATGAATTGATTGATAAGGTCTTGAATCTTTTATGATGGAAGTATTTTTTATTTATTTATTTAAACACATATATATTGGTACAAAAGGGCTCCAGGTACATATGCGCCACACAAATTAATGAAAGTAGGAAGATAAGGGATGAAAAGATAAGGCGAACTGAAATGTACAGCCAGAAGACTCTTTCAGTTAAGAAAGTTATGACTACTCTTTATGAAGAAAGTAAAATAAGGTTATAGCAAGAACGCCACTGGCTTCTATTCTGAGCCATATCTGATAACGTCTCTAGCCACTGTGTTGCACCATCTCTCGGACCCCAGCCAGGGAGTCGTGAAGGACCAACAGAAGCCAGCCCTTTGCAGCTTTCTTTCATACCACGACACCATGTCATACACTGACCTCCTCTCCGCTTTTCCCAACCAGTCCCAGGGTCGGCAAATAATGCACGACGTGGAATTCTCTGGGACGACATTCGTAAAACATGTCCAAGCCACCGAAGTCGGTGTTTCAAGATGGTGACACCAATTGAATTATCGTCTCTGCGCCCGAACACACGATGCCGAACCTCTGCATTACTAACATGGTGTTGCCACTGAATGTCAGCAATCCTTCGGAGACAACGATGATCGAACACAGAGAGTCGTCTAACATCCTCATCTCAGATAGGCCATGTTTCACAAGCATAGAGCAAAACTGCTCTCACCGACGCGTTGAGGATCCGAGCTTTTTCAGCCAGACTAACATCACGAAGGCGCCAAAGATGACCCAGATTGGCATAAGCCGCTCCGGCTTTCACTATACATGCTTCGATCTCATCACTCACGTCACCACCTGCAGTTATGCAGCTTCCTAGATACGCAAACTTCTCAACTACTTCAATCTGCTCACCATTCGGGGTGAGTACAGGATTAGAATCCTGCCAGTCTTGTAGGAGTACTTTGCATTTGGAGGGTGCAAAGCACATGTCGTACCTACGGACACTGATTGGCAACTAGTTAAGCTCGGATTGCATGCCTTGGGTATTATCGCACAGTAAGACAATATCATCCGCATACTCAAGGTCGAGAAGTCGTTCTCCAAGCAACATATCCACACCGCCATTACTTACATCCATCAGAGCTGTTTCCAGGATGTCGTCGATGGCAAAGTTGAAGAAGAATGGTGAGATTGGTCAACCCTGCCTAACCCCACTGCTCGAATGGAACAAGGGAGAAAGGTGGTTGTATGCCCTCACTCTGCCTGAGGTGTTTGTATACAGGGCCTTTAAGATGTTAATGAACTTCTCAGGCACACCCTTCTTCAATAGACAATCCCAGAGAACAGTCCTGTCCGACGAATCGAAGGCAGCCCTGATATCAAGAAACACTACGATTGTTGACCTGTGATAAGTATGACGATGTTCTAACATTAGGTGGGGGGTGAAGATAGGATCAATACATCCTCGACCAGAACGAAAACCAGCCTGCTCCTCGCGAGTCAATCGTTCTCAGGTTTTAAACAACCTACGAAGAATGATAGAAGCCAATAGTTTGGACTCAATCGAAAGTAGACTTATCCCCCGATAGTTATTGCAGGAACGACGTGAACCCTTTTTAAAGATAGGGACAACTATCGACTCATTCCAAGATGTTGGAACACTTTCTTGTTCCCAAACCTTTCCAAACAACACAGTCAATTCCTTAGTCAGGTCACCACCATCTTTAAAAAGAGCCGGAGGTAAGTTATGTGGGCCAGGTGATTTGTAACGTTTCAAGAGTTGGAGTTCCTTGCACACTTCCGCCTCGTTTGGTGAATCAGTCGTCACCGGCCATGGGGGGCAGGACAAACTGGTTGATGTTGCCGGAGTAGCAGGCCAGTTGAACTGCCCTTCGAAGAATTCCTCCCATCGTCCAATACGTCGAGGGATATTAGTGATTGGCATCCCATCATCCTCGTAGATTGTTTCACTCACACCAGACTTCTTGCTGCCAGTGGCTCGGATGAGTTGGAAGAGCTTCCGGTAGTTACCAGATGCAGCTGCTGCTTCCGTCTCATTAGCACGCTCCGACCACCAGGCTTCCCGGTCCTTACGCAAGCTAAGTAAGATGAGATTGGCGTGATCAGACTCCAGGTAAGTACTCCAAAAGGAGCGGCAGTCTTGTACACAACCACGCTAGGTGCCACATCGGCGATGACTGTGCCGGAAGTTAGTGCTGGCCAGAAACAGGTTGTAGTCTGTGCACAGTTGCAGCAAACGGTCCCCGTTATCTGTCCTGTGACCAACAAGTCCCCATCGGCCACCTAAACGACTCTCTTCTGTGCCTAGATGCCCGACCTGTGCATTCAAGTCTCCGGCTAGTACTACAATATCTGTCGAACGCGCTTTCTGGAGAATAACTGTTAACTGATGGTAAAACTCATCCTTGATTGCATCCGGGCTGCAATCTGTTGGGGCATAGGCGGAGATGACAAAAAGACACCTTTTCTCACGCCGATTTCTTCTCACTTTGATGGAACTTTCTAATCTAACAGCACATAACCGACTGTTAATGGGGATCCAATCGATTAGTGCTGCCTCAGCCCTAGCGCTTAGTGCGACACCAACGCCAGCAAGACCAGACGAAGATGCCACAGGGTCCCCGGATAAGCGCACGTGGAACAAGCTTTTCGAGGTGACAGATGGAGAGCGGATTTGTAGTACTTCACTAGAGTCTTGAATTCGGGTCTCGGATAGACAACAAACATCAACATTAAGACCTTCCAAAGACATAGCCAGCCCTATCTGTTGTCTAATATGCATTAGTGTGCGAACGTTGAAGGAAGCCAGCTTGAACGGCGTACGTGGTTTTAGAAGGACTGGTTCAGTATTCGTAATCAATGGAAGCATTCACTTCCTACCAGACAGCGACTCGAGATTGTTTGGATGGAACAGATTTTCCACCATGGGCGAGCTGCTGCATAAGTTGAAAAGTAAGGTTACACAAATTGGGAATAAAAGGGAGTGAATAAGCGATATGGTAAATAATAATGATAATAATAATAATAAAGGTAATAATAATAATAATGTAAATTGTCTTGCTTCTAGTATGAGCAGGAATAGTATCGTCAATAGAATTCATCACTTCATTTATTTGTGTGTGGGCTGTGATACTCCCCGGGTGCCCAAACCGAAGCAGGTGGTTTTCTTAGGGGGCCACACCCCGAGCCTTTGACCAAAAGGTCTGATCCACAAGGCAGTGGAGCATCGTGAGGAGATGCAGTCCCATGGTAGCCGTTGTCCAATGACAGGTTCGTCCGCCATTCGTTCCATCAGGATACTGGAGCCCATGTGCACCATTGGTTTGGAATCAGGGTTTTCCAACTCCCCTAGGTGGTCTCTCCGTGTCCACCAACCCGGTTGAAGCGCCGGACATTCACTTTTCGTCCTCTCACTTTCGTAAACAACACCGGTGCCACGAGAAGGCAGTGAGTAGGACTTCCCTGGCAGAGGCTATATATTCGCTGGCCATATGAGAGCATTTGGAGAGGGATAGCGTACTCTCCCCACTCTCGGCCGTACCAGGGCATTTGGGGGCGTGTTACGTATGCTCAACCACTGCCTACCTCGACATGCAATTTCAGACTAATTAGGAGTATGATGGAAGAAAGGTAAGTTTAGCCAAATCAAAATAGAAATATACCCATTCACAAAGCATGGATCACGTAAGTTATGCTGTTCCTAATGAGTATAACCCATTCATTAAGTACAGGTTTGTTTACCTGACATTCAGCCACACTTTGTGTTGGAGCCAATGACACTACGTGGCTGCCTAAACGGAATTAAATGATGGAGCGGGATTCGAGCCTTCCACCTATTAGTTGGAGGCTAGGCATGTTAAACCATTAAGCCACCATTTCATCTTCAATGAGTATTCACTCATAAAAAGTATTTTTCCATTTTACACCATTTAATGTCCTATATCCCATTCATGATTTTCTTCTGATTATATATTTCTCTCCTAAATCAATAGTTCAAGGAGATTAATCGTGCTTATCGTATTTTAACTGATCCTGTGAAACGGAGTATTTATGAAAAATATGGAAGCGTAGGCTTGTCTATTGCGGAACAATTCGGTGAAGAAAATGTGAACACCTACTTTGTGCTTACAAACAAATGGTGTAAAGTAAGTCGTAATTTTCATTACTGGTCGGGATAATACATTGACTTTTAGAACGATGGGTATTTTGGTTTTGTATTAGCTCATTTATCAGTTATAGGTCCGTGTATTTGGTTTCGGACCACTTTTTGATAGTGGGGACTAGTGATACTGCTGATTTTCCAAACGGAATTGGAGCAGTATTTGAACCCTTGACTTAGTAGTAAATTAAAGTCAAAAACCCTAACCATCATCGATGCACTGCTTAGGGTGAATATGAACACTGATATAGTCAACTGCGACGTGTTCAAACAGGATGCAGCACTCATTCTGAAGACGACTATTACCCGCAACTTCAAAAGTAATAAAATATGTAACTACATACAATATGTCAAAGTGTCCCTTCATGAAGCTCATGCAAAACCAATTGCGACTGATCAAACTCAGTGTGTAAATATAAACAACAGGAAAAAGATTTAATGAAAATGAGCTTTTACGAGTAATAATTTCATTGTCATTGCTTTCATGTAAAAATTTAATTTTCAATGACTGTTTTCTCTTCACACTTTTATACCCTATATCCCTTAAACAATTAGATTTGCTTTGCTACAAGTGTTGTTTTTTTCAAATTCGATGTTCAAGGTAACTTGATTGCCAAAAAGATAGTATGAATATTTTTTTGCCAAACAGTTTTTATATAATTTTGTTCAATGGAACTAATAATACTTTTAATTAATCGACTGTTCGAACTGAATTAATTGGGAGTCCCAGTTCGAATCTGTTACTCCGGTTTCAATATAAATGTCTTAACCATCAGCAAACGTTGTAGATGATTAATAATTAAAACGTTCTAATTTCAACTACTAAGTCACAGACTCGAACATCGCTCCACCTACTTCGGTTTGGAAAACCAGGAGGGTAATATCATTAAAACACGTTTACAGTGTGACTCGAAACCCAACTGTACAAATATGTGCTTGCTAAATTAGTTGAATTGAATCAAAGCTACTATTTCTCGAAGTGTAGTTCTAGCATTTATAATCGAAATAACGCTTAGTTTTCTACCTTACACAAATAGGCCCGCAAGTGCCCTGGTACGGCCGAGAGTGGAGAGGGGCCGTCCTCCCTCTCGCAATGCTCTCACATGGCCACGCGTATATAGCCTGTGCCAGGGAAGTCCCACTCACTGCCTTCTCGTGGCGGGGATGTTGTTTACGAAAGTGAGAGGACGAAAAGTGAATGTCCGGCGCTTTTACCGGGCCGATGGACACAATGAGTTCACCTAGGGGAGTTGGAAAGCCCTGATTCCAAACCAATGGTGCACATGGGCTCCAGTATCCTGATGGAACGAATGGCGGACGAACCTGTCATTGGACAACGGCTACCATGGGACTGCATCTCCTCACGATGCTCCACTGCCTTGTGGGTTAGACCTTTCGGTCAAAGGCCCGGAGTGTGGCCCCCTAAGTTTGGGCACCCGGGCAGTCCTCACACAAATAAATGAAATGATGACTTGTACTGACAATCCTATTTACGCGCTTACTATATGCCAGAAAATTTGCTTTATTAAAATAACTCATAATGTCATTGAATAAGGAAAAGAGAATTCAACGAAGAAAATTTTCTTTTCGACGAAATCATTTACTTAAACTGTACATTCGTATATATAGTGATATGGAATATATATGTCTACAGGAGGCTAGAAAAGATTGCAATAAATAACAAATGAGGTGACGTACTAACCCCTTAATTAGTACGTCGCTGAATTCTCTTTTCTTATTCTTGAAGTTAGACATTAACACCGTTGGATGCCAGCTCAGTGGTCTATCGGTTAAGGACTCTGGCTCGTAACTGGTAGGTCCTGGGTTCGAATCTCGCTCGCGAGAGCGGGTTCGTGGATGCGCACTGCTGAGGAGTCCCATAGTAGGACGAAACGGCCGTCCAGTGCTTCCAGGTTTTCGATGGTGGTCTGGCTTCAATTGACTCATGATTTCAACTTTGAAATATACTGAAATCTCCACAAATCCCCTTCTGATTTGCATTATTATTATTACCTTTATTATTATTATTATTATTATTATTATTATTTACCACATCGCTTATTCACTCCCTTTTATTCCCAATTTGTGTAACCTTACTTTTCAACTTATGCAGCAGCTCGCCCATGGTGGAAAATCTGTTCCATCCAAACAATCTCGAGTCGCTGTCTGGTAGGAAGTGAATGCTTCCATTGATTACGAATACTGAACCAGTCCTTCTAAAACCACGTACGCCGTTCAAGCTGGCTTCCTTCAACGTTCGCACACTAATGCATATCAGACAACAGATAGGGCTGGCTATGTCTTTGGAAGGTCTTAATGTTGATGTTTGTTGTCTATCCGAGACCCGAATTCAAGACTCTAGTGAAGTACTACAAATCCGCTCTCCATCTGTCACCTCGAAAAGCTTGTTCCACGTGCGCTTATCCGGGGACCCTGTGGCATCTTCGTCTGGTCTTGCTGGCGTTGGTGTCGCACTAAGCGCTAGGGCTGAGGCAGCACTAATCGATTGGATCCCCATTAACAGTCGGTTATGTGCTGTTAGATTAGAAAGTTCCATCAAAGTGAGAAGAAATCGGCGTGAGAAAAGGTGTCTTTTTGTCATCTCCGCCTATGCCCCAACAGATTGCAGCCCGGATGCAATCAAGGATGAGTTTTACCATCAGTTAACAGTTATTCTCCAGAAAGCGCGTTCGACAGATATTGTAGTACTAGCCGGAGACTTGAATGCACAGGTCGGGCATCTAGGCACAGAAGAGAGTCGTTTAGGTGGCCGATGGGGACTTGTTGGTCACAGGACAGATAACGGGGACCGTTTGCTGCAACTGTGCACAGACTACAACCTGTTTCTGGCCAGCACTAACTTCCGGCACAGTCATCGCCGATGTGGCACCTAGCGTGGTTGTGTACAAGACTGCCGCTCCTTTTGGAGTACTTACCTGGAGTCTGATCACGCCAATCTCATCTTACTTAGCTTGCGTAAGGACCGGGAAGCCTGGTGGTCGGAGCGTGCTAATGAGACGGAAGCAGCAGCTGCATCTGGTAACTACCGGAAGCTCTTCCAACTCATCCGAGCCACTGGCAGCAAGAAGTCTGGTGTGAGTGAAACAATCTACGAGGATGATGGGATGCCAATCACTAATATCCCTCGACGTATTGGACGATGGGAGGAATTCTTCGAAAGACAGTTCAACTGTCCTGCCCCCCATGGCCGGTGACGACTGATCCAACAAACGAGGCGGAAGTCCGCAAAGAACTCCAACTCTTGGAACGCTACAAATCACCGGGCCCAGATGACTTCTCTTCTTCTCTTTTTAAAGATGGTGGCGATCTTCTGGTTAAGAAACTGTCTGGCAATTAGTGTTCCAACATCATGGAACGAGTCGATAGTTGTCCCTATCTTTAAAAAGGGTTCACGTCGTTCCTGCAATAACTATCGGGGGATAAGTCTACTTTCGATTGAGTCCAAACTATTGGCTTCTATCATTCTTCGTAGGTTGTTTAAAACCTGAGAACGATTGACTCGCGAGGAGCAGGCTGGTTTTCGTTCTGGTCGAGGATGTATTGATCCTATCTTCACCCCCCACCTAATGTTAGAACATCGTCATACTTATCACAGGTCAACAATCGTAGTGTTTCTTGATATCAGGGCTGCCTTCGATTCGTCGGACAGGACTGTTCTCTGGGATTGTCTATTGAAGAAGGGTGTGCCTGAGAAGTTCATTAACATCTTAAAGGCCCTGTATACAAACACCTCAGGCAGAGTGAGGGCATACAACCACCTTTCTCCCTTGTTCCATTCGAGCAGTGGGGTTAGGCAGGGTTGACCAATCTCACCATTCTTCTTCAACTTTGCCATCGACGACATCCTGGAAACAGCTCTGATGGATGTAAGTAATGGCGGTGTGGATATGTTGCTTGGAGAACGACTTCTCGACCTTGAGTATGCGGATGATATTGTCTTACTGTGCGATAATACCCAAGGCATGCAATCCGAGCTTAACTAGTTGCCAATCAGTGTCCGTAGGTACGGCATGTGCTTTGCACCCTCCAAATGCAAAGTACTCCTACAAGACTGGCAGGATTCTAATCCTGTACTCACCCCGAATGGTGAGCAGATTGAAGTAGTTGAGAAGTTTGCGTATCTAGGAAGCTGCATAACTGCTGGTGGTGACGTGAATGATGAGATCGAAGCATGTATAGTGAAAGCCGGAGCGGCTTATGCCAATCTGGGTCATCTTTGGCGCCTTCGTGATGTTAGTCTGGCTGAAAAAGCTCGGATCCTCAACGCGTCGGTGAGAGCAGTTTTGCTCTATGCTTGTGAAACATGGCCTATCTGAGATGAGGATGTTAGACGACTCTCTGTGTTCGATCATCGTTGTCTCCGAAGGATTGCTGACATTCAGTGGCAATACCATGTTAGTAATGCAGAGGTTCGGTGCTGTGTGCTTCGGTGACTTGGACATGTTTTACGAATGTCGTCCCAGAGAATTCCACGTCGTGCATTATTTGCCGACCCTGGGACTGGTTGGGAAAAGCGGAGAGGAGGTCAGTGTATGACATGGTGTCGTGGTATGAAAGAAAGCTGCAAAGGGCTGGCTTCTGTTGGTCCTTCACGACTCCCTGGCTGGGGTCCGAGAGATAGTGCAACACAGTGGCTAGAGACGTTATCAGATATGGCTCAGAATAGAAGCCAGTGGCGTTCTTGCTATAACCTTATTTTACTTTCTTCGTAAAGAGTAGTCATAACTTCCTTAACTTAAAGAATTCTTGACGCTTTCCGTTTCATCCGTTATTATTCTTAAGATTGCACTAGCATACACTAATCAGTGATTTTTTTCTCTCTTATACGCACTTAACCTTTTTCTCTTCACATTCTCATTGTTTTGTGTGGTGCATGTATATCTGGTGCCCCCCTATACAAATATTTATGTGTTCAAATGAAATAAGCAATATGATAATTACACAAATGGGATGCTAATTTGCATTAGAAGAATATATACACAATAAACCCAATGTCTATTCTACGGGATTCTAACACAACTCTGATCAAGAACACGCGACTGATCTGATCAGATCGTGAGTATATTTCCACGCCAACAACCGACAGGTTACAATAATAAGGGTAGAAAAATACTTAACGCATCTAATATCTGTTAGACTATCTACCAGACTAAATAGGCAATAAACCAATCATTATTTTCGTCGCCTGCACATCAATAGTTCAGCTTGTTCTTTTTTAAAATCTCAGTGGTAAATTCACATTCATCAAAATTGAAGGTTTACTTGCTATTTCTAGTGATCACTACACTGTACGATAGTGTAAGTTAGCTATTTAAAGTAAAATGATCTATAAGCGTTAAGCGCGCATCATTGAAGACTAAATCGTTTAGAAAATTGTTTCAAAAAAATTAAAATGTTTTGATATTTCTAGGGTCACTTACTATCTGAGAGCATAAGGGCTAAAATGAAATCAAAGTAATTTCCGTGATCTGTTCAAACCCCTTCTAATCATTTGTTTTCGCGTGGACTCCCCGGTATTATCACTAGACATCATACTACAAATGCAGCTCAAAACTGAGCAGTACATAGACCCACCATTATTTGATTACTGATTCGCATTAGTTTTGTATCGTAATTTATACTTCAATGCTTAACATCAACATCTATTTTCGAGTTTGTTTTGTAAGGTATACATAATTCCAGTTACATGTTGAGATTTCTGACTTTGCTATGGCTTACGAGTCCTGACTAGTTTCACGTGACGACCACCAGTGGGACTACGATTCTGGGCTGACAAGCCGAAATGTGGCTGTGAATAGAGGGTACTGTAAATAATTAATTAGCAACGGATTAAGAAAAAAACATTCATTTAGCTTTCGTTAGATATTACCGGCTTCAAATAATCTTCATTTCATGTTATAGTATATTTTAATACAAAAGTGATTGGAACTAGAATCCCATTACTTTAGGTTGTTGACCGGCAAGATGGAAAATTTCCTTCAGATTTTATGTATACTGCTATACACGGTTGAAATAGTCCTATTGTGGGCAGTTTGTTCTCTATTGTTGGACCGTACAACATAGTAGTTCATTATTTAATTATTTTCCCATTGCTGTTAGGGCTTGGTCAAAAATCTATAAATGGAGTTAGGGTGAAGCGATTGCATCCATTTTTGTATTGTACGTGTTGTCGACACAGCTGTACCCATTAATCCGCACGATCATACCACACTTTTTGAAGTGAAAGTATGCCTAACTCTCTAAAGAGAGATTAGCTGCCAACCAATCAGAATGCAGGCTATACAAATAGGTAATTTAATGCATGAACACCCATAAATGATTAGTGTTAGAATTAGGAATTTGAGTTGATATTGTTAGCAGTAATGGTTAAGAATAGAGTACAGAAGAATGCTTTGTAGCCGAATAGGTGAATACTTATACATTTGTTTCTTTAGTTTTATCGTCAAGTGTCTTCATAAATTCATGCGTCGTGTTTAAATGTTATGTGCTCATTTTGGTTTATTGGATTCTCGTCAGCTGTTTACAATCCTTAATATTCTAAAAGCACAATCACAAAATGATTTAAAATCACTTACATAAATCAGTTTATTTAGAAGTTATTATGAATACACACCAGTATAGTATATCAAAGATGTAAATAAATTTAAGGGATTAAATAAAAATTTTGGTTGCGTAATGAGCAAGCTCTAATAACAGGTAAAAATGTTAAGGTTTATTCATTACGTAACTACTTGTTTCTAGTCCCTTGGTTTTTTGTTATCATTAGTGATGTAGAACGTTCTCCCACACAAGATATATATATATGGATTATCTTATTTACTTTCTTAAATTTATTTACATCTTTGGTACACTATACTGATGTTCATTCACAATAACTTCCAACTAAATTGGTTTATGTAGGTAATTTCAGTCCATTTTGTAATAATGATTTTAAAATATTAAAAGTTGGAAGCAGCTGATGAGAACCCAACAAAATAAAATGAATCTATGTTGTTCTACTCAAGTCTTTGTCTTTGCTCTCTTCGTGATGATAAAGGGGAAGCAACTGTACAAAATGTTACCTACATGTTGGTTTTTTTTCTTATGTCCTGTTTTTTCTATAAGAAAGTACACACTTTCTCCTTAACATTTTATGAGTCACTCAATTGGGCCCCTATTCTTTTGTCTTGTTGAGTTTAAGCACCTTAGCATCTAAATATTGCTAAGTCTCTTATCCCTTAGTGAAATACAATTAATCTGTTATCGTATTGTAAGTACTTTCATCTAAATTTAAACCGACAGTTTTACAGTGGTTGGGCGTGGAGTTAATCTGAAACCTCGGAGACGAAATTATATTTATGAAAATACCTAATCAAGGGCGATGTATCGTCAATGTATTTCTTCTCATATCAGATATGCATACAACTAAATAGTATATTTGTAATATCCCAATGAGTAGAAAAATTATATTTTCTGACATTTCGTGACTTATTGTAAGCCACTTCTCCAGAGAATAAATAACCAAATCTAATTTTTCTACTCATTGGGATATTACAAATATATTATTTATATTTATAACAATCTACCCAATGCTCAATTTATTTAAAATTATCAAATCAAAACTTGGTAATGATACCTATAAATACAACTGTTATCTTAACACAATCCCTTTACTTTTTACACCAAATAGTGACTCCTACGCACTTCAGCAAATTTTTTCTTTTGACATTATTAACATGATTGGACGGATTGTTTAATGTTCAGTTACCCGGTGAAATGTGCACTTATATTTGATAATTTTAATGTTTTATTATATTTCCTTGAGAAAACTTGAATCAGATTACCAAGTGAAACGTTAGATTTATCTAAAATTCAATCTCTGAGATTTTTACAAATATAATTTTTATTTCTTTAATACCTATTATCGGGTTTTGAATCTCATCAGTTACTGCTCCCCTAAATCTAATTGATATATGTTTCTTCATTGTTTTTTTTGCGAAAATTTTCCAATAGGCACTTTTCATCTTCCTCTTCTTGATCACCGGTTGTTTCTTCTGTTGTTGCTGCTTTTGTTGTTTCAACTTTTGCTGTGGTTTATACAAACCGAAACCACCGCCCGATGAAGATGTTGAAGCAAAAATGCAACTTAATGTAAGTGAATTGTGTGTTTATGTTTTAGCTAGGGAAGTGAGAGAAGGTAAGTACTTAGTATTCCTCCATTCAATCTTATTATTTTGTTTAAAATCAAATGGTAAGTGGATGGATGGATTTGTGGTGTTTTGTTTTCTGGATATTATAGACCACTAATCAACTGCTCAGTGAGATGGAAATGGAAGACGAACGATACAACTAAAATGATGAAACTATCCAGCTCTTGAAACAAAAAGCACCTTCAAAATCCTCATCCCGAGTTACAAATTTTCTCGATTATCTCAAAGAGGATCTTCAATGATTCCTTTGTGCTTGATCATTCTTGTCTCTGAAGAATTGCTGATACCTGGTGGCAACAATGTTAATAACCCTGTGAGGACGGTTCACGGGTAAACTCAAAATTAATTGGTTCCCATGCAAAACAAGAAGAGGTGCTTGTAACTGCCGTAAATGTTGAGGCAGAGGTTCACACAGTATTGGCAGACTCAGTTTCCGGACTTCCGATCACATTCGAAACCATTAAAAAAGCGAGTGAGAAGTATAATGCGTTGAAGGTTGTTCGCCGCTGCATACTCAAAAGTGGCTTTTATCTAGACTACGTGGAGAGCTCTTACAATATTTTCGTCGACGAGATTCTTTGACAGTTGTCGATTCGTGCATCATGTTTGGCCACCGTATCGTTCCATAGCGAGCATCCGGGAATAAGTAAAATGAAAACACTAGCTCGGAACTATCCATACTGGCCGTCAATGGACCATGATATAGAACAAAAATGTCGCAGTTGTTAGTCCTGTTTAAAGACAGCAAAGAACCCAACTAAAATTGAACCACAACCATGGCCGAAACCGGACGGACCTTGGAAAAGAATACACGCCAATTTCGCCGGTCCAATACAAGGCAGAAATTACTTGGTTGTTGTCGATACTTTCACAAAATGGCCAAAAGTATATGACATACCGAAAATGACATCAGAGAGCATAATAAGAAGATTGTCAGGATTGTTTGCTTGTTTTGGGGTTCCAGAGATCTTAGTAACTGATAACGGCACTCAGTTTATGTCATCTGCTTTAAATGGTTTTGCAGTGAAAATGGCATATCGCATCTACAGTCTTCTCCGTACCATCCTCAGTCGAATGACCAAACAGAGAGATTCGTGCATACGATAAAAAGAGCTCTGGTCAAAGGGAGAAGAGAGGGTATTCCAGAACAAGTGATTAGTAAGTTCCTAATATCTTAAACAGTTACCCCTAATCCGGCAGTACCAGGAGGAATGTCACCAGCCGAGTGTATGTCCGGAAGGAAAATCTGGACAGTCTTTAACAGTATGTTGCCACCCAGAAAGACAAATAAACCCACGAATGAGTATCGTATGGTCACTCGTAGCTTCCAGATGGGTGAAAGGGTACTTGTTAAATCGTATCAAGGTGATATGTAATAGGAACCAGGTGTTATAGAACGTCGGATCGGAAGTGTACTTTACATAATCCGGAGAAATGTCGGAGCGTGTATAAGACACAAATTAAATTCAAAGGGACGGCGGAACATTGATCTCACGAAACCGACTCTCGTTTCAATCGCTCGTGTGTTCATCTCGGAGAAGCCTTCAAGAGAGCGAATGTAGAAGAGATAAACGCCGCAAGGGCAAAGCAGTACAACTTTCCAGAGTGATGAACCGCAAGGGGAATGCGGTAACCAAGTTTCAGGTGGATCCGAGAAAAAAGTTTTACACAGCAGAGGAGGGGGGAAGGTGTGAGGACGGTCCACGTGTGAACTCGAGGAAGCTCAGAAAGAGCCGAAGATATTGCATCCAATCTTCTTTTGGAAGAATATTTCAGAATCACTACATGTAGATTCCCTATTAGACAAATGCTAATATCCCCCTGTATGCGGATTAGATAACTATAATGATGTTTTCGTTTTTACTAAAAAAATATAAATACCTGACAGTTTTGTACCATAATTGACACTTTTTGGAATAAAATTCCTTCCACTTGTCCTCTGTCTTCTCATTTGCGACTGGGGAAGGTTCTAGCATTCGATTGCTCAAGTTATACTCGGCATACTAAGAATCTAAGTTCTAGATATAACAAACCCTTAGGCTAAAGAATATGTATTTAGGCTCAGTGAGGATACTTCAGTTGGTGTCACCTTTGTGAAACACTTATTTCGGTGACAACTGTCCACATCGTGCATTTTTTGCAGACTATGGGACTGGGTGAAAAAAGTAGAAAGATGGTAAGTTATGACAGCCTCGTAATATGAAAGAAAACTAAATCGGACTAACGTTTGTCGATTCATCACAGCTTCCTAATTGGGATCCTAGAGATTCTACTACTCAGTGACTTGTGACGTTATCGGACATATCTTCTGCCAAATGGCAATCCTTCATTTTTCTTTTAAACCTATCATAAATAATATGAGGAACTTCGTCAATTAAACAAAAGTCTTGATTTGATTTTTGACCAAACTATTTGTCCGGTTATACACTATTCTTGTTCACATATTTATTCACTGCACGGTACCCTTGTCACTTATTTTTTTCGCAACATTATCATTGCATTTATATGGCACGAATCTTTTGTTACCCAGTTAATCAAGAAGTATGTGTATTAAATAATTAGCATGTTATCAGATGAATAACCATGTGAACAATCAGGGGAAGGACCGTTAGTCAGCTGCTTCATCCTATTGCATAGTATGTCCGTCACTCCTCTAGAACTCAAAGTTACTGGTCTCATAGTGTATGAGCATCATAGGATACAAATTAGTTAGCTTCAATCTATTAGGCTAGATTCCCAACTTTAATCAATGGTAGAGCGAAAGATATCAAGATCATGCATAGAGTATTAGACAAATATGACAAATCGACTGATGATATAATGAATTTTCATCGGTTGAACTGGCTAAAAAATGCGTTGGGCATTTCGAAACCAAGGTACGGTATCAGTCCATGGTCACGCCTATAAACCGGTGTGCATTTAGTGCCTATTTTCAGGATTTATTATTATTATTAAATCATCGGTTTTTGGTAGTTTGTGATTATCGTGATCAACAGTTAGAGACATATATATATATATATATATATATATATATATATATATATATATATTACTATACGGTTTAAATGTTATTTTGAAATTTAAGATGTTCTCTTCTACTTGTACATTTTTTCCGGTCAATTCTTCCTTCTTTTAATATTAAAATTTGTATATGAGATTTGCGGAAATTGTAGAATTACGGTTCGTACCACGAACTGATTTTAGCTAGACTACCCATGGAAACGCTGGACGGCCATTCCGCCGTCCTAGTACGGAACTCCTCACCAATGTGTATCCACTACCCCACATTCGGTAATCGAACCTAATTGTTGACATATAAATAATCTTGTCAAGAAATATTATTTAATATACACATGATAATTCCCTATAATGTTGTCAGTCATAAGCAATGTTAAGATTTGTAACACGATTGTATATCAATCCAAATTGATGCAACCTGTATCAGCAGTGCAGTAATGGAGATACCAACAAGATGAGTAACAAAGGAAAAGCAACACACTATCAGCTGCAACAGACAACGAAAGAGTATAGTCCGGAGAAGATGAACAAGATTAAAGAGTGTAGAGGGCGTGGAATGATTTTTAGCCTAACATTTAGCGAAAGATCAAGGATGAATGGGATTGATTTAATATTTCATGCATTCCATTCATAGATTACAGTTATTGCATGAACCCCACACCTAGAATATCTGTAATTACTAACATTCCTTAAACCAACAGTTAGTAATATGAATTGACTACATTTGGATCTGCCCAGACCATAACTCTTTCTCACCTTACACTCCTATGTCAACTCGGGGTAAGCAGGTTGCGATTCTGTAACATGTTCTGAACATCAACTTGTTGCTTGTAATCTAAGCATCTGTCTGACATTTTTCTAGAATTATTAATACCCCAACGTCAGCATTACTCATTTGATGGCCTTATCATAGTCAAGAAATAAAGAACATTTACCCATAGCCTGTGCTCATATTTTACTTTATTTGGTCAGTCAGTCATAGGCAACATAGAACCCGGCGCATACGTATATCGGTTGAAGTTGCCACAGCACATGAACACAGAGATAAAATTATTAAAATAACTGCCAGAGTAGTAAAGTAGTAAAAATTTCAGTGATAAAACAAAACACTAAGTATATGCAAGTTGATGATTTGGAAAAAATGTGTTCATGGAATTTTAAAAAATGTATCAGCTAATTTTGGAGGAAAGATATAAAATGAATGCATTTGTACCATTGTGACTGATTCTAAGGCATCTCAAACAGCATCTGCAACCATTGTTTATTATAATCGCGCGGACTCCCAACCAAGTAGACTACATGTACTTACCTACCCAGCTCAGTTATACTTCACGACTGTAGAATAATGCATAGTGTGATATATCTCCTCTCATCTTTCAATATTCAAGCGAAACACATGTATCATGCAATAATAATACAATTTTGTTTATAGTTAAGATCATGAGTCAATTGAAGCTAGACCACCGTGGAAAACCTGGAAGCACTGGACGGCCGTTTCGTCCTATTATGGGACTCCTCAGCAGTGCGCATCCACGAACCCGCTCTCGCGAGATTCGAACCCAGGACCTACCGGTCTCGAGCCAGAGCCCTTAACCGGTAGACCACTGAGCTGGCATCCAACGGTGTTAATGTCTAACCTCAACCAATCCACGAAATTGCGCAACCAACTTCCAATGTACTGAGGTAGATACCTGTCTCTACCTGACGTGGATTAGCTCCACTGGCCACGGCTTCTCACTAGAACTCAAGGAGCCAGTCACTAGTGAGCACATGATCATTATTACTAAATCTCCACAAAACCCCCTTGTGACAATTTTGTTTAGTTAGTTAATATAGCACATCATTTTTCAATAGCGTTTTGTCTTTATATTAGCCACATTATTGTACATCTTGTAACTAAATAAATATCAAAAATCGTTACACTCTCGACACCGATTCCTTTTTTGCTCTCTCTTTAAGGAAGAAGATCTTGACGATGTGACACCAATGCAACAGGCAGCTCCACCGTATAACCCATCATCATCTGGTTTCGACAGTAATTTTGTTACTGGTCCCACATCGATTGGCGGCGGTGTCGGTAGTGGATTTCCTTATCCAACACCTGTGACTGTGGCTCAACAACAACCAATTAGTGGGCGTGTATACTGATTTAATCTGCAACAACAAATCATAATAATACTGCCAGGCTATCACATAAACACATGAATACATATATATTATGACAGAAAAAAAACAACGCAATATTCTTTTAATCACTCAATTTTTCCGAGTGGGTTGTCACATTTTATCACACTATGGATATAATATATCTATCTATCCATTTATTACCTTTAGTTATTCTACACTCATGTGAATAGTCATGAGGTTGATGATGATAATGTTAGCAATAATAACTGTTCTTATTAATAACATAGAATAATGTTTAGTCACAAATTTATGAATATGAACCCAATTAATTACTGACTTGTTGTATCAATTGACTGATTGATCAACTAATGCATTTACTTTGAAGACAATCACCATTATCCTAGAGATTTCCTGGAGAGTGTGAACATGTGAAACCTATGATTATATATATATATATAATAAAAACTACTAGTCGTGTCCATTACCTGTTATTGTTGTTCTCGTCGTTGTGGCCTACTTAACACTGATGAATTGTTATAATGGGGTTTTAGTAACAGTAGGGAGTTATTAATTACCAGAAATGAATGAGAAGTCACTAATACCACTAACATCACTATTATCACGTTGTTTAAACATTCCAAGGTGAGGATATTTATTTTCGTTCTTATTTGCTGTTGTCTCCTTTATTTTTGACTTTTCAATATTTTGGTTGCTTTATTGTGTGTTTCTTTTAAAAAGAGTAACTGTCTGCGCACATTTTTGTGGTGTTCGTTTTCCTCCGCGGGCAGTTGAAAAATGTTAGTCATTTTTTATGTGAGTGTGTGGATACTTGTGTGTTTTCTTCTTTATTGTCATCTTTTAAACCATGAGATCAGCTTATTTTGGTCCATGTTTACGCTCCCGCTTTGTTGACTATCTCTTTACCCTCATTCAGTCTATTCTCGATCTAATCCATATGTGTGAAGAAATTTACTCGAAGCCGCGCATCCATCAAATCACATTTATTCACATAAAATGCAGGGGATATCTTGCTTCTTCTCAACTTATATCTCCCTCTCTCATTTCATTTATTACTTTTTTCCTGTTGTCAAATATTAAGTGTTTATTAGTTTTCTATGTGTTTACTTTGTTTGTTTTGATGATGATTTTATTGATGAAAGATGATTGACTTGTTATCTGTAAATTTTATCATTATTATTATTATTATCGTTCCTTATCAAAATTCGTGTGGTCAACGTAAATATAATCATTATACACTTGTCATATTTTTTTCTCGACTAAGGTTTCTTTCTGTTACTTGTCTCTTATTTATATTTATTCAACTAGTCCATATATATATTCATTCTTGCTTTACCTACATATTGTTCCCAGTTGAGTTATTCTATGTCCTGCTTAAGTCCACCAACTTTTCTTTATTCATCTTTTTTGTTTTCTATTGTTATCATAATTTCTAAAATATGATCAACTTATATAATAAATGTAAAAGTAAATGTGCAATCAACCAGTTAATAAAGTAATTCGTACGAAAAAAATCAGATATTCTTACTATAAGCTAGTCCCCATTATTTGTAGTAAGAAAGATAGAAATAATCGTCAATACTATTAATCTGAGGTAGATGAATTTTCTTATTGAACCACTCACCGTTTTCTCATACTTTTAACCTAATGATCTAATTCATAAGGCAAGGGATCACCATCGTTAGGAGCTGTTGTCCGTAATCAGAGTAGATTAATTTGCTATTTATTCCTTTAGCACGTTAGAACTCATGTGTATCCGACTCCTGTAAATAAATCCCCCTACCTATTAACCCGATTTAATCCCACAATGTTGATTTTCACACTCTTCTTTACGCTAAAGAAGTGAGATTTCTATGGAAGTGACTATAATGCCACTTCAGTTTGAAAAGCGTTTCCACACGGAAAACAAATGCTTCCCATTATTGGTAGTATTGTCGCTTTTGCTTCCATGCTTATTGCTAATTCGAACCACACGATTGATTACGTGTTCCATTGTGTGTACTTAAATCCAACTAATCTGAAATAGGTCATCAGATTTATTAATTTTATAATGATAAAACCACATGGAGGTATAACCATTTTACGTCCAAATGACAAGTTTAAATCTTAGCCTACTTATTTCTATATGATCAGCCGGTTAACATTCACACAAATGTATTAAGTATCCGAAACTACATTTGTCCATTACATCAAACTGCCTAAACATTTTTTATTTCCAAATATCCAAGTTGCGTTGGTTACATTGATCCCAGTTTGAGTACCATTGAAATATGTCTGTAGTGCTCTTGGGACTGTAGAATAAATAGAAGTAATATATGGGGAATGATTAACTGAGAAAAAGACTTATATAAAATAAGGGTTACATAACAATTTAGTTACTTAGCGCTAATTTACATTCGAGGGATCATCAGTCAGTCACAAAGTGGAACCTGCACGTATGTACGTCGTTTTAAGTTGCCACACCCTATTAGCGAAGAGTGATGAAGTTGTCAGGCCGAATCCTAGAATGTTAGAGGCAGTATCAGTGGTAATAGGGAAAATATCCATCGAAGACACGGCTAGGAAAGAAAATATAAACTAGCGAATTAGGAACAAGTGGGAAATTCAATAGTTCAGCATTCGTGGGAAGGCAAAGGATGGATGCACCTGCACCATTGCAAACGACTTTGAGCCATGTCAATCACGCGGACCTTAGCCAGGTAGTCTTCACATATCAACACGGTCCAGTTCATTCGTCAGTGATTTCATGGACTGATGCCATGTTTTGGTTTGACCATCCCCCACTTCTGCACGATAAAACCGCCCATCCAGGTAGGTGGTGGTTGGGCATACGTAACACGAGTTCCAACTACCTCAGTTAATGGAGATTTACTATCACATCAATCGACCTACCATCCTTACTTAGTACCCCTTTTCTGACCCAGGGATTGCTGACTCCATGGTCCAAAAACACACAAGCAATGCCTCGTAGATACCTATAACTGAATACCGGTAACCTATGAATATGCTTTACTCTTAGTGGCCATGTTTCACATCCATTAATTAGTGAGGAGCGAACTGCTGAGCAGTTAACTTACCCTTTGGTTGGAAGACGGATATCTCGCCTACGTCGCAAGCTGGCTGTTATAAACGTAGGATACTTGATATAACGCTAGGGTTTCTTGTTACAACAGTCCTTTCACTCTTTACACGTATGTGGGACGTTAATTTACTTTAGACGAATATCTACACTAGATTCCCATCCAGTGTATATTTTACAGGACTTCAACATAACTCAGATCAGGAGCACGATATTAGCCTGACTATAACGTCAATATATTTCCACACCAAAATCCGACATAATCCAACAACAAGAAACAGTCAATACGTAATAAGGATAGGGGAATATATATAACACCTGTCATCCTATCTAATGTCTGACTCATCAAGACAACCAATTATTATCATTCTCGCCCAAACATAACTGGCAAAAGCCAATCGAGCCATCTGAATCTGTCGGGATTTCGTCAGACGCCATCCCGCCAAAATTGATGAGACTCTCAAGATAAGTGAAGCGATCGATACGTTCGCTTACTTCACTCCCTATCACTAATTCCGGTGATGAAGCGAGCCGATCCTGAAGTAACGTTTCACATTTGGAGTGAGAGAACCGCATCCAAAATATGCTTGAATTGTTGCTTAAAGTGGTTAGAAGACTGCATTTTTCAGAGTCTTCACCAAACAGACCTATATCATCTAGATATCCTATATTAGTCAAACTGATTCTTCTGTGGTTGTCACAAGGGGATTTTAGTCCTTTCTTATAAACTGAGATGCTCAGCGATCGAAACCAGCCAGATGGGATTACGTAAAGTTACCAGATTTTATCTAATTTAACTGCTAAAACTGGACGACCAACTTTAAAAATCTCAGGAGTTAGTCAGTTAAGTCCAACTACTTTCCCTCACTTTAGATTGCTTATAGCTTATAGGATTTACGTCAGTTTGCCATTAGGGTTGCTTGGAAATAGTGATTAGTGGAAGTGTTGCTGAAGGCCAGCTGAACGGTTCTCCAAAGTGTCCTGTCAGTTGATTCAATCTCCTTTCTTGAAAGAGAATAATAGTCCCGGCTTTATCTGAGACAGTCTCACCAACAGCCGGATTTTTAATACCCGTCTCCCTAAAAATTCTGAACAGGTGTCTCCTGTTACCTATCGTCACTGTCTTTTCCATCTTTTCTCTTTCACTACCCACCACTGCCCACGATTATTACGTAGACTTTTGATCAACTTACGTTTAAACTGCCTCCGCTCTCATCATGTTCTGAGTCGGATGGGACGGACCTCCGGTCATCCATCAGTTCTGTAAATGCCACTGATGTTCACTGGTTTTTCCTAACCTTTTGGTCTAAGTTATTAGTAGATATTACTGCTGTTTCCACAGCCTTTTGGAAATCATATCAAGCTACCTCGGGACAGATATCATTTTCACGTTAGACTAACTCCTTTAATTGTTTCTGAAATACATCCTCAAGTTTCTCATTATTAAGTCAGACTCCATGGAGTTTCCTTACTGATGTGATCCGCAAAACTAGAAGCCTGAACAAATTACGGAAGCTATTTTCGGGGACGTTAATTCATTTAATTCAAAGCTTTTAAAACTGTAACATTTACTTTTGCCCCTAGCCTATTCTACAGATCATAAGCTTTCGTTTGATGTATAATTCATTGCCATAGAATTTTCTGCCCTAAAGCTATTGTCATTTAGACGTAATCTTTTGTACTCTATTTTCTACTATAATTCCCCAGTTTTGGACATGATTGTATTTTTCTAATTATTGTACGTTGTGGTCCGCTTAGTCATCTATTTATTCATGTAACTTTTCACCCTAATCTGAATTGGGAATTCGAGTGCTAGATCGGGTTGGAATAAAGTGATTAGTGTTCCGTCTGTCTTGTCTTCTCTCTCTCTCTCTCGTGCTTGCCAGCCAATCAGGGACGAACTCGAACTCGCGCATATTGGCCT